TACCAAATATTCTTCATACAGCTACATAAACAAAAGGTTTGTATACCATTAGAGCCAGTTTGATCTTAACAGCATGGAATAGGGTATATGAACTGATTTTGTAAAAGTCAGTATTCTTTCTGAATCGAAGTGCTCTGCTCCTAGGTGCCAGCAACAGGCAGATACACTATGTAATTGCAACTGCCCAAGCCATATACCAAACAGAAATGTGAGATCTATGTGATGTAAATTGGAAATCGATCCCACATGTTTAGTGCTTCCTCAGGTGTAAGGAAATGTATATTGACATTGTCAGCGTTGAGAGTCACCAACTCTCAAAACCAAAAATAGGGTGGTCTTCTCTGTAAATAACATGCACATCAGGTAGATAGTCTGCCAATCAAAAGGGAGTGAGAAGCCTAAAAAAAAAAGCTATCTGTTTAGACATGGAGAATAATACCCCGCTGTATCCAAAGATGAATAAGAAGATTTTATTTATGATGATAATTTCTTTCTCTCTCCTCCTCATCTGTTGCACAGATGAGAAAAAGAGCAGAGAAGTGTATGGATTCAAGACTGATACATCCCACCCATGCAGAGCAGTCCCATAATATCACAGGCCCACACATTCACCCACACAGAAAAAGCCCCCATTCTGGGAAACTGGTCTCTTTCTTCACAGATTGGTTGCAAATCTGCCCAGTTTATCCATGCAAATAATGCTCTGCAAAAACATGAGTGCATTTTTAATCTTGTAATTTCTATGGTGAGCTCACAACCATTTTCGTTATTATTAATTTGTAAAGACATAATTAAAAGCCTAAGAAATTTGAAGAGCCACAGGTCTGTGTCTGCCTTATGAAGATGCATGCCAGTTATTTCTCTTGATGACTCAAGATACCCAGGGTTTTGTCATTATCTATTAAAAAAATACCATCAGAAGTATTGTTGCATACAGAAATGCTCAAGTCTGAGAGGTCTGATCCTGAGAAGAATCTATACAGCAAGTCTTCATAACTGTTTGTGGACACAAATGATAGGAAAAAGAAAAACAGAAAGTAGCAAAAGCTTTATAAAACAGAAGAGCATGTACAAAATCTAAAAAATAGCTGAAATGAAGCTTTTAAGATGACCTCTGAGAGACCTCTGAGAGGCACAAATGAGCCTGTCTTTAGAACAGGTACGAAATTTAGTAGAAAAAGATAAATGGAACTGATTTGGCATAGGAAATGGAATACATCTATTAAATATACACTTTATGTACTCTAACTCATAGCATGCATACAAGTACAAAATGTATTAACCAACCTACTGGACAGATAATTGTCCAGTGCATCATTGTTACTGTATTATAAGCTTCTGTCACATCTTCACATTCTGTAAGTAATATCAACTAAGTACTGCATATTTTAAAATGAAAATTAGAACTAAGCTTTAGATTTATTAAACACATTCATTAGGTTATTTTTAATGAGTATAATTAAACATATCAAATTGTTATAGTATTTTTTTTTCTCCATAGAGTGCGTATAAAGTTGTTCTTGCCTTTGTCTTGTATAAGGAATAAGTTGGTTACCAATTGTGAATCCTTTACTATTTTAATGATGATTTGTAGTATCTGGATGTAGAAATGTAGGATTAAACATTGCCATACTTGATTATACTGAAGGCAGTGGTCAAAATCAAAGTAACAGAGTGAAAAGATGACATTCTGCTTGAGGGCACCATTGTTTGTACAGAATACATAGCTCTTGAGGTGTTCCTAATGTTTTACCCTTTGGGGTCAAAGCAATTAAGGCAATTCTCCATGGAACTAATGCTTTTCTGTGCGCTCTGTTTTCAGTATAAAGTGTTAAAAGCTCTACAGTCTCATCATCTGTGTACCTTCTTCTTTCCTGAAGGTTTAGAATTAATTTATTGTATTCATTTTTATGCTATTGTTAGTTTTAACATTCCAATATGAATTTTCAGTCTGGCAAAGTCATCATCAGGTACATCTAATGCTCTCATATCTTTAAAGAAAGAGAGAACAGAAGATTCAAGCTGCTGCTAAATTCTGTGTTTTATACTAATAATATACTCATTATAATGGTAATATGCCATTACAACCAAATGGGAGGATAATATCTATGGACATGTCATCATAATGAATTAATGCGATTTCTCCTTAATGTGAATTCTCCTTAATTAGCTATGTATATCCAGATAATATTTCCAAATTAAAGTTTTCCTATGTATTGCATGGCTTGGGTTCAGTAACTGGGCACTGTTCATGCTGGGCACTGTACTGGGCACATATCAGCATATATTGCATAAGTATAAGAGATGTGATTAAAGATCAGTGAAGCAGGATTTTTTTCAAATGATAAGCCTCATCCTGTATTCACGTCAGACAAAATTCCAGTTGTCTTGATGGACAGTTGGTTTGCATACATTTTTAATAATTTATTTTTATCAGTGATCGAAAGAGGATAGTTGTCATTTCACTTACAGAAGAAAATTGCCCAGTGAGATGATGGATGTTTCAACAGAATCTGTAAATCTGATGAAATTGGAAGAGATGTGGTTTTCCTCCTCCTTATTTTGTTCCATTAAAATACTTCAAGAACATAATAGAGGCAGTAAAAATTAGATCTTTTTAGTAGTGCCATTGAGCTCATTGTGAGCTGGAGGTGTAATAGAAATTGTGCCTTAGTGTTTTAGATGAATCTTGATTTCGCTCTTCTGTGACAGAACAAGAACAGATACCATTCTATTTTCTTTACGAGGTCATTCTTTCAAAGCAGTAAGCATAACAGAGATACATATCTAATGTGAGAAAGTAAAGCCTGCTATGTGAAAGAGCATTCAACTGAACAGTCTCACCTAAAAGGCCAGGTTGTCAACCCAATGCACCCTCTGACTAACCATCCTGGGCCCTGAAGGTATGATGGGGGAAATGAAGAGGAGTTCCCTTCAGCACAGAAAGCACCACACTGGCAGGTCGAGACTGTGACCTCTACTACAGCCCACAGGCAGCAATAGCTCCTGTTGCTTATGAGACATCAGTTCAGTGGCAGAACTGACTGCTACTTCAGCCGTGGGGTGACAGTAAGTCCTGTGGAGCTTTAGATCCCAGGTCCCAAGCAAGGAGAATGCCTGGTGTAGCCACAGGCATGAATTCAGAAAACATACCCTTCTACCTTTAAGTCTTTCCCCCATGTAATGTACTAGTGTAATCAGATCTTCTGTGCCTCACTGTGTGTTTGTGTGTGTGCACATCTGTGAATACAAAACCGTGCAAGAATTCATCTAAAAAGGAGTGTAGGTGAAGACAATTTAATACTAGGTACAGGATTACTAGCTAGTAATTTGGATCATACCACTAACTACTTTGAAAGGGAAGTGGGCAAGACTCCTTACCACTGTGACAATTCAACAGCCAGACACTTAGTTAAGAACTACATTCCTGCTGTCCAAAGTAGAAGAGGTACATTCCTTGGGTATGTGGCTGGCAGGAAAAAATGCAGCATGCTCTTCTTTTATTCTTTGCCTTGAAGAGCATGGCTCCATGAACCTATAGACTTGAATTGCAAATGAGTAATAAAGGGCGTTTTTAGAGAATATGTTTTAAAGCCATAAGCCAAATTCATTTTAATGTAGGGCTTCTGATGCAGAAGCATACATCTTAGATGTGTTGTAACACGGTATGTTGGATGCAAAACAGAAAAAGTTAGGAAGTGGATGCAGGGGCAGCAGGGAAAGCCACTGTTGTTGCAGCTTCAACTGGGAAGGCTCTGGAAAAGCTACGTGTTCCTCCTACCAAAGTCCTTAAGAAGGCAGATAACACTGTTACTCCCTTCTACTCTGTGAGAATCCCATAATAGGCTAGGCTGATCAAGTTGTTGTTATCTGTATTTCTTTATACTGGCAAGATTCAATCTCCTTCTATAATAAGAAGTTCATTCAGACAGTCTTTCCAGCAATATTAAATCTCTATTCTCTTTCATACACTGCAGCATTTTTGGATCTTCTTTTTGTTAGAGAAATATGTCCGGGTTCATTGTGGGCATTGTGTTGTGGGATATCATATGCGTAGACTTCATCCAAGAAAACATCTTCAAACTAATGAGTGGCAAGTCATGCTTCTGCCTGTATACTCGAATATTTCTCACAACCTCACAGACAGACTCACTTTTATTAAAAATGTCAGCAGAACTAGTGGCACTGAAGTTTGCTTCATTTTTCAAAGTTTCAGGCTTTCAAAACCAAGATCCTTACTGCTTTGCCTAGGGCAGCATTAGCATAATCTTGCCTCCTCAGCACAAATGTTCCCCTTCCCTGGTCACACAAGTTGTGACATTTAATTGATGCTGTTTGAATGTATGTACTTAGCTGGTGTAAATCAGCATCGCTGCTCTGCTTTTGGTGCAGCAGCACCAGCTTACAGCTGACACTAGACTTCTTTGATGGAAGAATGCAAGTCCTTTAGGGAAGCATCACACAGAGGTGTGAAGGGTTGTGGAGAAGCTGTGTTCTGCATTTCTGCATTTGATTTTAGAGCAATAAGGATAATTAAAGTGCTTAGTACATCTGCACTTGCAGTATATTATACTGGTTGGTAAAAAGAGGTATTGTACTGCTACAACTTGCTCTAGCTTTAAATATATGTTCATATTCCTGCAGTTTGAATATAAGTTCTAGCAGTGAGCTTATAGTGAACTTTCCCATGACAACAACAACAAATATTAATAATCAATATTTTAATATTAGTTGCCAAAGCTAGCTTAAGACTCAGTCCTTTTCCTCTCTTTCTCACCTTGCATCCCCAAGATCCTCTTCTGTCAGCCAGAGAGTAATTACGTGTATGTTTTTGTTATCCACAGCTCAGTTTATACATGTAGCTATAAAGTCAAAATCCCTCAGTCACCTATACCAGCAAACCATGTGTGCAAGGTGTTCTTGTTGAGACTTTTAGTCAGATATCAGGATCCAATTAGGTTTCCTTTCATCTTTATTTTTCTTTTGGATCATCTTTACAGATGAATGCAGAGGGGAAGAGGATAAATGGCATAAAACTGGCCAACATCAGAGGATGTTCTACATCAAGACACATTCCTGGATGAGTTATACTGCCTGAGAAGAGTAAAAATCTCATGAAAAGACGGAAGGATCTAGGTAAGTTTCTTTTGGCATTATATTTCTGCATAAAGTGGACAACTATGTCATTTCTAAGGTTGTCCAGCTACACGGCTTTGTTTCATATCTTGCTCTAGTGAATGTCTAATGAATCTTGCATGGTTTCCACTGTGTACAACTTCCCATGTATTTTTTACTTAATTTAGTGGATGTATTTTGAATACCAACTAAATCATGAGCTCATAAATAGGTTCATAAGGCGACCAGACTGTATTCAGTTTAATGAAAGAGTGAATATCCTGGTATTTTGCATCTGAAGCAGAGTAAGCAGGTGTCTTGTATCAAGCACAGTTCATAATGAGCTATAATTTTGCACTGCAGCTGATGCTTGCAATTCTATAGAAACAGTAAAACTTTGCAACAAATTTTCCCTTCTTGTGTTTATGTTTTGATGTGACATCTCCTTTTGAAATTCATCACCTTTGTAGCAAAAAAGGAAAAAGAAATCTAAGTATGTATGAATTCCATGAAATATGAACTTAGTAATGTGAGATATGAGCTTTAAGTTGCTGCTAGACTGAAGATCTCTTACCTCCAAAATATGACATTATTGGATTATTTCTCAATCTGGCAACATTCCACATATTGCTTGAAATTTGTGGATTTATATTCCCACTGTTTCTGAATTTCTTAACAGCTACAGTTCTAGTGAGAATGTACTAAAATTTAATTTGTCTGTAAATCTCTTCTGTCATATGCAAACACTGTAAGATCTTCAAGAGAATTGCTTTTTTTAAAATAAGAAAGACACAGTGCCTAGAGTTTCAGTGTAAAACCCTGTGTGCAAAATACAAATGAGAGAAAATATGTCCCAGAATAATTGAAATAACTGCCCATCGGCAGTGTAAAAATCATATTATAAGTATAAATAACAGGGGACATGGGTCCAGGGTCTGCCATCAGTTGCTTCACTAAAATCAGGAGCACAAGTAAGTAGATCCAGATAATTTTCACCACACGTGAGGATTTGTCAAAATCTGGACAGCACTTTGCGTCAAGTTGTAAACAAGGATTTTGAATGGTAATGGCATCTTAGCAGAAGGAAAGACAACTCCCATCCTCTACCAAGTATCTTGCTTCTGTGAAGGGCAATCTCATTCCTGTGTTTCATAGGGTTCTGAAGGATGATGTGTTGTACACCCGTATTTTATCAGTGTTCAGCTTTGGTAATATGCGTACTATTATGCATTAGGTGAAGTAAAATTCTTGCTTTCATATGTAGCTGATAGGATCTTTGTGAAACAGAATTTGAATTTGATTTTTGAGCCATGAATTTGTGAACGAAAAATGTTATCTGATATATTCTGGTTAGAAACCTGCTATTATTCTCTGTACCTACATGGTGAATCAGCGTTATTTTTTCAGGCAGGCATCCTTTGTGTGTATATTTATACACGTATTCTTGCTTAAGTGTGAGAGAACAAGTACACGTGAGAGCAATAGCCCTTAAGGAGAAAGCACGTGAAGTGACTGCTGTGGGCAAGGAGCCCGCAGGGGTGCAAATTTTTCAGTCCTATTTACAACTCCAGGGGAACACAACTGGTAGACATGATCCAGAAGGTATTTTGCATAGCTGGGCCAACAGTGACTGCTAGGGACACACAGTCTGGCCTTCAGGATATAAGCTCTGCTGAAGAGTTGAGTATAATCTGATAACGGTGAGAGGGAGAAGAAGCTGCTGAGTCATTTAGCTATGACACTGCTTTGGGGTGAACGTGTGGGTGCCTCCGTTAAAAACTCCATGCATCCAGATCTGTGCAGAGGTTCTTCCTACAGTGTCTCTCTGGAAACACACAGAAAACTAAGCCTACAAGTCATGAAGAACAGGTTGCCCTGTTCTTTAGCTTTGCACATCATGCTCCTCCGGGAGAGAGTGATCTCTGTTAAATGGATTTGTCATTCACCTCTAACTGACTCCACTCTGTTGACGAGGCTTGAGTGGGAAATGCTCCAGCAAAACAAGCTCTCGCTTGCAAGGAGGGAAAATGACCATGTGGCTGTGCCTGCTTTCAGGTGCCTGTCGTGCTTCCCATAGCTCTCCTCCCTGGGCTTTCACACCAGGCCCAACCAGTCACACCTTCCCTCTCCCACTAAGGCCTCAGAAGCGGGGAAGCATGCTTTCATCAGTGACACTTCTTTCTATCTGAGTTATCACCTCTGTCCCTCAAGGCACTGTCCTGGGTAGAGTTGTCTCCATGGCTTGGCAAGAGAGGGAGAGAAGCTGGCTGAAGGGTCTGGACTGCTCTGAGGGGGCATGACAGATACTGTGGTGGTAGCCAAGGCTTTTAAGAAATCCATAGGCAGGATTTAAATGTAATTGTTGAAATCATGTAGGTTCATTTTGTACTTATCTAAGATGTGTTTTCTGTTCTTTGTAGTCATGGTTTAAGAAAGGCTTATCTGAAATCTGAACTGTTCAAACAAGGGGCTTGGCACAACAGATCTCACAAGAGCAAAAGGAACATCAGAAAAAAAAAATAAAAGCTAAGCTATGTTCAGCGGCACGCTCTTTGGAAATAGAGGCTTCCAGAAATTCTTGTTGAGGTCAAAGGCAGGTAGAAGAAACTGGGCACTTGTTCGACAGTGCTGTGCTGTCCATCCCTGCAAATGTCAGCAAAAGCTGCAGACAGTGAGGTGGTGTGAAGTGGTACTGTTCAGCTGGGCTCTGTGGGACTGGCCTGATTTGTACAGCAGTGCTTGTGATGCCTATTTGTTTGCTGCTGAAAGCCCACTTCCAAAGATCATAAATAATAGCTATGTGGCTGTTTATGAATTTCTGTGTATTCTCTTCCCCATCCATCCAAACTATTTAACCTTGACGTGTGGAGCTAATGGGGAGTATACCTTGTTACTCCTTCAGCTGAAAGAATCCCTTCTGATCGCTAATTGAGGCTGGATTATAAATTCCATAACCATGTAATAAATTACAACTGTTCCAGTTCTATTAAAAGGAAAAAGGAAAAACAAAACAAAACAAAAAAAAAACCACCACCACCACAACAACCTGTACATAGGAGAAACCTGCACATAGAGCAACTTACACATAGTAGGAAGGTCAATATTTTAAAATAATCACATTGCAGATATTTCCTCAAATTGACCTCAAGAGGAACCTATCCTTTTATGAGGACCAAGAGGACCAAGACCTATAAAATTTATCCTTTTTAACACCAAAAAAAGCCTTTAACATCTGATTTATAATTCTGACTCACGTATCTAGCCACATGTGCTATATTAATTAATTAAAATAGCTTTTAAAAGATGTCTATAGAGTGATTTGAAAGTACCTTGTAATGGTCAGAAGATCAAGAAACTCGTACATCAGTAGAACAACACTGAAAGCAATTGTTTAGGGAGGATAAATAGTTACAAATGCCTGTGTTTTTGTCTAGAAATGAAGTAAAAGAGTATTTGTGTGTGTGCATGCATCCCGTTAATGAGGTGTAAAAACTGTGATACTGGAGAGGGGAAGGCAAGAATTTTGGAAACTGGATTTCCCCTATCGATCAGATTGAGGGGGCCTTTCCCTTGTAAAACATGAAGGTATATGAGTATACCATAAGCATACAGAGAAATAGAAGGAGTTGGAACCAGGATGTTAATAAGGTTTGATCTTGGGGAAGAAAAAAAAATGAGAGAGAGAGGAGAAATATAATAATGTTTTGAATTTGAATAACATGTTAGCTAACAGCAACAGAAAGAAACATCAATTCAGAGGGAAGGAAAGTGGCCAAAATTGCATTACAGAATATGAATCATAGAATAGCTGGAGAGCAAGCTATGTAAGGAAGTAACAATGACAACAAAAAAGACTAGACGCTTTACAAGGATTCTGCAATTGAACAAGTTGTCTATTTCTACAGTTTTTCTACCAACATAATATAATTCAGATCTTCCAGAACAGAATAAATTACTAGATAGAAATTATGATATTTAAAAACAAATAATTTTTAAATGTGACTGACTTTACCATTAGCATCGGCTACATACAGTGATGCACACATATACTTGCTTCCCTTTCCTAGATCATCTATCATGTCAGTGAAAGGTGTCAGATTAGTATGAATCTGCCTTTAGTGAATACATATTCTATTTACTTACATTTTTGTTTTTTTATTTCTTACTTTTTCCATCAGAAGTTCCACAGCTTTGCAAAATTTTGCAAATTTGCAAAGTCTGGCCATAAGATATCTGCTTATTTTCTTTATCTTCTCTTAACTGACAGCTCTTCTCTTGTTGTTCCTAAGCAAGGTAGTAGTATTCTTATTTTGGCAGGGCTCCCCAGTTCAGAGCCACCCTGAATTATTTCTAGTAACCTATTTCACTGTTGTTTTAGAAAACTGAGGTGAGATGTTTTTCTTCTTCTTCTTTTTTTTTTTTTCATTTATACCTGCAAATTCAATTTCTCCACTATTTCTCATTAAGTAAGATCCCAATTTTCTTTCACAACTTTTAGCATTTGTCTGAAGGCCATTTTTGTGGTGCTTTTAATCTACTTGATTGCTGTAGCTCACCTTGCCTTGTCATAATTCTCACTAAAACCTTTAGCATTATCACCTAAGACATAGCTTGTTTTTGTCAATCAGTTCTTTTTTCCATTTTCATCTGTAGACTCTCTGCTGTTTCCCTGTGTCTTATTTGATGTAATTATTCATCCAGTTATGCAAGGAGCCTTTCCTTGAGACTTCTTTTCCTTCTCTGAGTGTCAGATTCCAGCCAGCTTTATACCTTTCACATTGTTCATTTGCAGGGTACACTCACAAACAAACAAACAAACAAAAAAGTTTTCCCAAACCAACACCCATGGCAGAATTAAGGTTTAATATCATCAAATTGTTTGTTTCCTTTTTCCAAGTCCATTGGCAAAAGGAATTGAAATTTTTATTTGGAACTTCCAAACTGTAAATCAGACCGAAGTCAACAAATACAGGTACTTTATGTTCTTTTATTATTATTATTATTTTTGATCCAAACTCTGG